CTGTTACGGATGGGTCCTCTGCCTGGGTTCATGTTCACATCAGAGCTAACTTGAACCAGAAATAGTCTAATCAGCATTGTAACACAACACGATGGCTTATTTCAAAATATTAAAATTGATATTCATGACTAAAAATTGCAGAGGCTTGTCACTAGAGCTCTTGGTGATTCCCCAGTGTTTTGATCACTGTGACCTTAGTTGGTAATCATGCAATTTATTATCCGTTTTTTAGGATTATAGAATTATATTACAGTATATCCTATATGTGTGATAATAGGAGAGTATAGCAAGATAGGGGTTTATCAATATTATGTCTGATAACTGTCTTTGTGAAATTAAGTCACCTAGTAACATATTTCTTGTTTAAGTTGTGACTGGTATGAACTGATCTTGACCAGGCACAATAAGAGTGCCACATTGACAATAATGACAGGTATGAAGTCTTGTCAGGTGGCTGAAATCTTTTTTCTAATGATGTATCTCTTAAAACCCCATCTGGGATTTCAATAGAATTCCTTCATAAATATACAAGAGTCAACCTTCTTTCTATTGAATTTCATCACTTTTGTTAACATAAGTTGCCACTGTAACATTATAATTATTCAAGCTCACTGTCAGTGTTTAAGTAAGGACCTTTCTACATGGTGATTTGATTTCTAACTGTTAATGTCACTGTGGAATTACGATGGGACATTCAATTCTAACAAGTAAATTATTTTGAAACCCTAGGGCCTGATAACGTGAGTTGATCTTCACTTTTAGACCAAGTTTGGTTCAGTTTTGAGTTCTGAGCCTGGTTAAATAGGATAGGCAGCATTTCTGTAAATCTATGACTTTAGCTAACTAGTTACTCTAGTTTAGTAGACGACAAAAAATTTGTCCCTAAAATAAAGTAGTCGACTAAAACTTCCAGTCTAACAGTTAAGACCACCTCTCAGCCTACAGTGTTCTTGTGAGCAGTGAGACACCAAGCTAAAGGTGGTGTTCTCTGTGATAAGTCTACCCGAACAATGGGACTGCTCAACTGCGGCATTATAGAGCTCGCCTGAGGTGAGATGTACAGAGAATTCCATGCCTTGTTTGGTACTATTTTATAATATTCAGTGGGGTGTGAGCATTTGTCCTTCAGAGCTATATACTTCCAACTTAATATCATCTTTGCGATCTTGATGTCTTTCTTCTCTCCTTCCAGCATTTTCTCTCTCTCTTCCCTCTCTACTTCTATCTCTCTTTCTCTCAATCTCTCCCTCACTTTCCTCCATCTCTTTCTTTCTCTCTCTTTTCTCATTCTCAGTACTACCAAATCCTTTCGATTGCCATACAAACAGTATCTTCCACTGGTTAAAATATTCTAATATTCCAATCATAACAGAAACATTTCACTTGGCAGTCAAAACACTAATTTTCCAAACCACCTACTAGTGCTAGTTAACTGTGAAGGTCACACAGGAGACCACCAATTTCTGCCAGCAAATGTGTCTCAATGTGTTCACAGATAAACATCCTGAATCAAGATGAGAACGAGGAGTGGTGTCTGACGAAGACCACAGTTACCGCGCTGACACGAGAGAGTTCTTCACCTCAGAATGACTGCCCTACCTCTGTAGTTTACACTACTATATAAGGCTACTATAAAGATAACACAATGTATATTGTCATAGAAATGTGCTAGGAATTTTGTAGGAAAAAAATTAGAATAAAAAGTCACTGAATTACTCTACAAAGAAGGGTTAAGATGTAAAGGTCTCCTCCAAAAATTTTAAAATTTCCTTTAGTTGACTTTATTGTGCTTTAAAGTGAATTCAATATCTTCAGTGTCAAGCTGTGTATTGTTAAATAAAGCACCACTAAAGAACACTATTTTTATGATGTCCAAGAACTTCCATGGTAGCTATACAAGTACTACAGTATTATAATCCTGTATACATCTTCTTCACAAGTCACTACCAGATATATCCCTGTGATCAACCTTAACCAGTACCAATTAAGTTCAACATTTCTAAGACTGTTTACAAAATACTAGTACAATGTGTCAAATATCATTCAGCTGAATTTATAAAGTCTATATGTTTCCCTAGCTGTAAACCTCACCTTACTCTGTAGCAGCATATTAGTATCTCAGTCTTGTCTACTGGGTGTAATATATCAGGATGACACTACCTTAGATGTCACTCCCTCGTTTCCTGTCACCTGCCCCACCCCCCTCATCCTGTGGGGGGATGTCTTGGTATATGGGTCAGTTTAAACAAAGGTGATGTGTTATCTAAACCAACGTTAACTTATCTACGACATGATATTTGGTGTAATGAGACAGTTAGTCTAATAAAAGTGATTGTCATTGTCTCACAGGACATTATCTCAGGTAGATCAGCATGCTCATCTGGAGACATCAAATGACACAATTAATTTCTGGTCTATGCAAAAACACTAACCTTATTCCTTACCATTTCTTTAGTACTGACTCTCCCCCCCCCCCCCCCACATCTCCCCATCTCATCTGCACAGCCTACATTCACAGTGTATTTACTTTGATCAGCCTCAATCACTAAGAAAATGCAGGTGGTTTTAATCACACCTTTCTGATCAAACTTTCACTTTTATAACAAATTTCCTTCTTTTTGTTCAAGCTCAGAAATGCTTTATATTTATGTACATTAATGAACATCAGGGCAAATGTAATTCATAAAACCAGGAGTTTCATCATTTGGATCGGCACTGCTCGCTCTGCCTGAGCCCAGCATGAATTTGCCCAGTGTCCCGTGTATAAGCCTCATCCCCTATTATTCACCCAGAGACAGTGGGGAACCCCTGGCATCACCTGTCCACTACACATCTCCTCTTCTCTGTCATCACTCTGAACATTAATTACAGATTACTCTCTATGGTTGATGAGGGGGGAAAGAATGTGGACAGAATACCTCCAGGTCATCTGTGTTTTCCCTTGATAAAATTTGTCTCATTTAACCTTCACTTTCGGTTTTCAATCTATTCTATCTCAGCAATTTTAAGTTGGTCAGTTCCTGACCTATCCCGAAAATTAATTCAAATCTGCCCAGAACTTTTCAAGTTAAGCCATTAACTCACAAACCAACGAGGTAAAAACACTATCTTCCTTGGCACAGGTACCAGTAATGATGAAAAGAAAGGACTCAGATATAAATTCAATCACCCACCAGTCAGTCACCTTAACTAACCTACCTACTATATATCCAGTTTCTCTGTAGGTATCTTTTAACCCTCCTATATGTCTGCATTAAAAACGTATGTACATAATACTATGTGGGTCAAAGTCATTGTAAAATGTGATAGAGGGAAAATAAATCAAATGAATATTCCATATTTCAGCCTATACAGCTAAAAAGGCTCATGTTAAGGAAGGACTAAATATTATACAGCATGCTTCGTTCTCTATATTACTTTCTATCACGTCCTTGCTGGGTCATTCCATAAATAAAAGGTGAAATATTTGGTAATGTCACATTTTACATAATATATGCATAATTTTAACTTAACTGCAAAATTATTTCTGCTGTTTTATACTTAAGTACCCTTCAATACGGAAAAAAAAATCAACTGAAATCAAAAAGGGTGAAAACAATTATGCAAACGTTACAGAAACTGTGTGTGTCATTGACATGACTCAAATGCATGTTCACTTTTTGAATGACCCTTCTCTTTAATATCTCTCTGTGCAGTGTCTGAGAGGGCCATCACTTGATAAACTAGAAGAAAGTATGTTGTTAATGTATTACACACAATGCATCAGAACATGTGCCAAAACTATACTAATAAATTACGTACTGTTATGGTATTACTGGATAATTTCACACACCACAATAATTGTTTCAATATCAAACTTTTTAAGACCTGTTTAGTAAGTTTTTTTTTTCTCAACAAAATACTCGATCACACATTAACTGTTTCAGTTATGACTAGAAAAATATTGCAGAGGAGAACATAGTTCATTAATTTATTTTTTTCAATTTCCCTGAACAGTTACCGTACAAGTGCATGCTGCCATAAGTCCAGTATGGTAAGGTATAAAGTAAGAATTAATGGCTCAGAATTGTAAATGCCACATTAAAGTGTGGAACAAGAAAGGGCTCAGGAATTCTTTCCACAGGGTGAAACATGCATGTTTTTCTAATTTGTGCTCAAAACAACTGCAGTCATAATCTTTATGGTCACAACGTCTTGAGTTTTAAAACCGTAAGGCCTCATTCCCATTTTAAAGCTATTGGGCTACATAAATCGATCCAACTCTGCAGGAACTTTTGCTGAATACAATCAGATAAGCAGATTAACACCAATTAACGGAAAAGCTGATGATTCTATGAGAATGTTAAAAACNGGGGGGGGCGTTGAAATAAATTACAAAAAAAATATTTGCCCAAATTTGCCCAAAAATCTGAAATGTTGGTTAGAAACCTTAGTCCTTGTTCTTCTACATGGCATATATTTTGTCTTGCCGCCCTTTGCCGACTTCAAAAAATAAATCAGTTTAAAAGTTTGCCCTTAAAAATTTTCACTTCTGACCTCTCGTAGATCGCGAAAACAATACCCAAAAGGAAGTAACAGCTGTTCTCTATCACGTGTTAAGGTAGGGTTGTTCCCGATGCAGTAGTTGAGACACGCCGTGCATTGTAAGAGCGGGTTGAAATCTGATACTCTGGGGACAGTTTTAATGGCGCTTCGCGAAATAGAACAACTAACGCCACCTAGGGACGTCTGCGCTCGCTAGTTAGAGTAAGTCCTGATTTCTGGTCCTAACAACTCCCAAAGTTTTTTTCTTTCCCACTGATATGAACTGCATAGGTAAAATGATCAGCATGTTAACTTTGAGCAACAAAAACTGACCAATACCCCTCCCAACCTAAAGTCTTATCAGTCCTTGTACCGTAGATCAACTACATCACTAATCCTATATCCTGTTTTTTTTTTTTCAACAGAACTCATAACAAAAGTGAAACAAAAATAACGCACCTTTTAAACTACCAAATCCTTCCTGAATATCCTTTGTTTCCTTTCAGTATCCTAGATCTAATCCACTGGTCAAACAGGTCAGAAAAATGACCAAGATGGTCAGTAACTAATTAAGCAGTAACTGGTCACTCTACTCTGTCCACACGGTGTGGCGTTATTTCACTTCCGGGAGAGTCCCGTTCCCGTCCTCCGTCCTGTAGATTGGTACTAAGTGTAATGTGGTTAAGTCCCTGTGCTAACATTATTCATTCCACAGCATTCCAGAGATTACAGTATAAAAGGCTAAGCCCCCCAGTACAAAGTATCAAATGAGGGCCTGTGTACTGTACTCGGCCTTCACTGACTCATACTGGAAGTGTAAATATATTTGATGCATTGTGTATGGCTGGTGACTCAGCCTGCGGGCCACGTGCTGAAATGTGTGCAGTGTGGTGTGAACTGGTGTGTGTGTGTGTGTACGTGTGTGTGTGTGCGTGCATGCATGCGTGCGTGTAAGTGTTCCATGCATGCATGCATATATACACATTTGTGTATCATATCTATGAACCTCTCTAATGTTATAATTTCTTTTTTTTTACTATAATTCCTACTGCCACTGATGTCGTGTGCTTGCAAAGGGCATTCATTCATACACATATAGGTTAATGCAAAATTCTCTTTCCCTCTCTCTCTTCTATATTACAGCAGACAAGTAAAAGGCTAGTCACTCACACATGAAAAACTCTCCTTTGAACAAGACTTTAACTCAACCACAAATCTCCCACCACACCATTATGATCACAGTCCCCCTGGAGCTTCAACTCTAATATCTCTTCAAAAGAAATTTCAAAGAAGTTAATTGCATTTCCTATGGGCATCTTTCCACCTTAAACAAAGACTCAAGTTTTCCTTTTATCACACTCTTTAAAAATCCCTAATATTTATTTGTTTACTTCTACTCGTTTCTGCATTCACATGTATTTACGCCTGGAGTCCAGGTGAGTATTGTTCAGTAATATTACAGGTGACGGGGGTTGTTTGTCCCCTAGGTTAACTCCAGTGATCTATAACAGGTAAAATAAAGCCAGGTAAACACATCAAGCCAGGGACTTGGTTTAAGAAAACAAAAGGGGGGCAGTCACCACACTATTTCACTGCCTGTACCCTGTACATGTACAGTTGTAAAGGTGCCTTAGAGTGTTGAGGTCATACACACACACACAACAAGACTTAACAGTACCTACACCAGAATATATGGATCTAATACTGGTTCTAACTGGTTTTAAAATTATAAACAAACAAACAAATAAATAAACAACTGAATGAACAATGGATAAATCTATTTGATTGATTGACATATCATTAAGTAAATGATAAATAAATGAATAGACAAACACCTGAAAGAAGGAATAGATAAATTTTAATTTAATTGAAAGACTCATAAATATGTAAATTAATAAATTTCAAAACTTTTGTACAAAAAGCAAAAACTTGTTTGGCATTCAATCAATATAAAAAAGTCTTGATCTGTAATGCTGTACTATATATAAAAGTTATGTATTAAATTTTTTGTTAATATAAATTTTCAAAAAAATTAATTCAAGAAGTTTCTGGTCACTGTTAAAATCAAATGTTTCTGAAATGTTCTAAAATTCCAGTGGCTACTCAGATTCTACACCTTATCGTACCTGTCAATCTAATTATCTGAGCAATCACTTCGTCTAGACGGCTTCAGTAATCTTAACTGTTACATCATCATTAACTTCCGACCAGCTCCTGTCCACTAAACTGGACAACACTGTGACCAAAGTGGTGGCCAAAACAACCCCTAACCTTAATTCTACAAACAATTCCTCACCCTTGTTTATTTGTAAAATATGTCATACCTTCCACAGCTAATTTATCTCCTAAACTGCAACCCACCGCCTGCTATAACCTCAATGCTGCGTGTAATCTCTTGAATTCTAACCTGCTTTGTGTTGTTTGGATATTTTCATAGGCTACGGTGTCTTGACACCATCAAAACACTGTTGTTGTTTTATATGTGGCTGCTGTGCTGACTTTCTGACTGGACATCCAAATCTTGTTTGGAAATTTACATAAGACCAACATGAGGTGCCTGGCTAGCTCCACTACATACAAATTGTTCTGACCACTTTTTGTTATCTATCATCTTCCACATTTGGTTTGTAGTCAGTATATGACTGCTGAGGCAGAGAGAGGTAAGGATGCATTCACAAAGGGCCCAACTTAGATAAAAAAAAATAGGTGAAACTGTGTTATTTCATTAATAAGCTAGATATTAAATTCAAAACTCCAACGAAATTGTGGATAAGGAAACCTAACTTTCCCATAACATCTAAATTCAAATTGTGTTCAGATTTGCTGATGCAACAAACAATCTTAAATCTGCATGACACACTATAATTAATCCATACAGATGATGCATTAACACCAAGTATTTTTTACATCTAAAACATAAAATGATTCCACTACTAAAATCCACATAGTAGGTCTGTAGCCAGTTATTTCCTCATTCTGAAAAATTGGATCTTGTTACCCTCTAAGTCGATCCAACTTGAGAAATGGCATATAGAACCTATATTAAATTTTGATTCAGAACAAATTTTCTGACCCAAAGCCCCCCCCCCCCATCCCCCCCCACTCCCCACTTCTGACTTAAATATGTTAACTTTACATTATACCTGGTGCAGTGTATGCAGGGAGCAGGTAGAAATTACATAACAGAAAATTCCTGAAGATCAGCCACCATATAATTATAGTGCCCTGGACAAAGGAAGTCATCTCAAGTCCTTGAATGTCACATTTATTTATCCATAGTCTGGGCCATAGGTTCTATCTTCCAGTGCCCTATGGAGTATAAGTATTGAGGCCTGGTGTTACCTGCCTGTCCCCTGCACATGTCATGTGGTGTGTATATGTAGCACACAGGACAGCATTCTGAGTATTAGGTTGTGTTGGCAAAGATGGCAGCAAGAGCACTTGCAGGAATTCTTTGGTCACCAAACCTCAAGGAAGCAGTAAATGGAAAAGCGTTCAATCTTTCCACTTTGGGTGTCATCAGCAGCAGTCAACAATATCGACAATATTCCACTGACAAAGTCTACGAAATACGCACGTACAGTTTATACCCCAAAGACATGAAGGAGTTCATGGCTATTTCTGAAGAAAAATTACACATAAGACTGAAAGCTTCCAAGTTGATTGGATTTTGGACATCTGAAATAGGGGGGATGAACCAGGCGTTTCACATCTGGGAATACGACAGTTTAAAGCACCGTGCCCAAGTGCGCGCCTCCCTCGCCAGCAAACCCGAGTGGCTGTCTCAGTATATCAACCGAGTCATTTCCATGTGGTGGAAACAGGACAACCTGCTCACCAGGGCCATTGCAGGACCAGATGGAGATTTGAATCAGGATAAAAGCAACATCTATTTCCTGCAGAGGTATAACCATAATAAGTCCAGTATGTTAACTCTGACTACTGAGCTGCAGAGTTTGCAGGCTGGGACAAATATCAAGCTGGTCGGGGGCTGGTCAAGTATTCTTGGACCAAAAGATAATGCATATCTAATGTGGCAGTGTAAAGACCCTGACGATTTTCTGGTGTGGCAAGAAAAATTGAGTGACAAAGTAAAAACTGTCCCAGAGCATTCTCAGTTGCTGTTTCCATGCCCGTGGTCACCTTTGATGTAAAAGTCATAGTCAAGTTGAGGGTACTTTTTTTAAAAACGGTTTATGGAGAAATTACCTGTTCACCATTCATTTGATAAAAAGCTCTGCATTTGAAGGTGTTTTAGGTCTTACCAAAGTGATCAAAGTGCTGCTATTCAAAACATATGAAGACTGTAGCATTTCAATGAATGTAGAATCACAGAACACAATGAACATCATACTTGTCATTAGTACAGACATACATTTTGACTTTGCCTGTATTCTCTTAATATTTCCTCCTTTAATTTTTTCTTTAAAAGAAATTCATCTGTCACATTTCCAGGCCTGCATGTCTAGAATGTGACACTGAGGAGGAAGAGAATTATTCTACTTCAAGTCAACTGTAGCCCACTTTTGACACCATTCTTTTCTGACAGACATTCTTAGAAACCATAGCCACCAGAACATGAAATTCGATAAAAACAAAGAAATCAGGAAAGAAATATTTCCTTACTTTCTGTCCAGTACCGTCACCACGTCTCCTTCACTGTACACCAGGAAGTCTTTTCCCGTATTGGAGCTGTCCCTCTCCGCTGTCATAGTGGTTGGCTGGATCTAGATGAATTCAGAGATTAATCATATTAATGGTAGTAATTATCCTGCTATAAAGAGGAATAAATGATGGCTATAATATGGGAGGAATCATATGAATGATCTATATTTGTGTTTGTAATGTTTTTTTATCAGCGGAAGGTGGATTCTGACTGAACAAGGAATTTTAATTGAGCATTCCGTTTTCTTTCTTTTATGACAATGGTTTCTGATTATCAATCATAATTTTTCTATGTGTTTATTTATTAACTCATTTTATTTGTTTTTGAGAAATTTCATCAGTTATCTGTTGTTCTATAAGCATATGAAAAAAATAAAACATAAAACAATTATATTCCTCCTTCACCCCCCACCCCCTCTCTCTCTCATCTCTTTCTAACTCTCCCTCTCTCCTCTTTCACTCTATATTTCTCTCTCTCTCTCTCTCTCTCTCTCATTCTCACTCTTCCTACTCCACCCCCTCTTATCTTTTTCTCCCTCCTTCCTCCCTCCCTCTCTCTCTCTCTCTCTCTCTCTCTCTTCCCCCCCCC